TCCAGTTCTCTGCTCCTGGCTTGATCTCCACCCCGTGCCCACCCCATCCTGCAGTTGTGAGGAGCACCTCGCCATGGCTGCCTGGGCTGGTTGCCTTCTGAACCCCTGGCCCCGTCTTTATCTCCTCCCTCCTGTCTCCTGACGCCAACCCAGGCTTCTTCGGGCTTCCATGGGCCTCTGTGCTTTTCCGGTGGGACCAGCGCGAGTTTGATCAGAAAGGAGACCCTTTCGCATCCTCCAGGCCGAGCAGGGAGCTGCTGGCTGCTGGCTGCCTACGCTCAGGGCCTCCCCCGGAATCAGATCAAACAGCCTCCGCTGGCGAAGTGACCACATGGCCCAGCGCCCTCCGCCCACAGCCCTCACCCCGTCTGTGGCTCCCCGGAGTGGTGACGGGTCTGGGGGGCGGGCACCCCTACAGCAGGAGCAGAGGAGCTCATTTTCCAGGTTGGGCTGGGGCTGGGCTGGGGCTGAGGGCAGAGGAGAGACAGCTATTATGCTGCACGTTTAGTGACACAGTCCAGGCGCAGGTGGGGTTCTTTCTGAGTGACAGGTGTCCCCACGAGTGCTGTGTGGAGTGACTAGCGCAGAGGCGTCTCCAAACCTGAGGAGGCTTGAGGCTCAGGGGGAGCCCCTGTTCAGGTAACTGGTGGGTGGACCCCCAGGTCTTCTGAACGGGGTGCTGTGAGGATGCCACGTGGGCGGATCTGCTCCATGAGCGCCATCAGATCAGCCACGGACTTGGCATCGTGGCCTCATTAGAGAAGGAGCGGTGGCTGCAGGCTGTCGGGGCCAGAGCTCAGGTGACACACCTGCCAGTGGACGGAGGGCTCTCGCCCGCGTGCTGGACGGACACACAGCCCTGGGCCGGCCAATGGCCCAGCACGCACAGGGCTCCCTCAGGTTGACCTGTCAGCAGTCGGGGCCCCCAGGACACTCCCTGGCCTTGGGTGTTCGGGGGTCACTGGGGTGCAGAGAGCTCCATCGTAAGTGAGATACTCCCGGGACCTGGCTGTGACGCTGGTCAGAGGGGGCGTCCCTCGGCCGCGGGGGGACCTGGCAGGAGTGAGCCCTGCGGGGGGTCGGGCTGTGGGTGTGGACTGAGGCTGCTGGCTGGGGCAGGGTCCCTGCGGAGGGGCCATCACCCCCAACGGGGGGCAGGGGAGGGAAGATGAGGGCGCGTCAGCTGCGCCAGGATCCGGCTCCTCGGGCCCCTGGGGCTGAGCCAGGAGGGTCCGACCGAGAAGAGCCTGGGGGGAGCTGGGCCCTGGGCTTCGGTGACTCCCGCCGTTGTCACCGCCAGTGACACCGGAAGAAAACCCCGCCCAGGAAGCCGCTGGGGGTCGTGTCCGTGTGGTCCTCGCTGGGCGGTCGCAGGCCTTGCTCGCTGCTGTTCTTATCCTTCTTGCTCTGCTGTTCGGAGGGCTTTCCCCAGAGGGGCTGGCGGTGGAGGAGGAGCGTTTGAAAATGTGTGTGTGTGTGTGTGTGTGTGTGATTGATTGATGTCAGGGAGGAAGGGAGAGGGAGGGAGAGAGAAACATCAAGGGTGGGAGAGAATCACGGATCGGCTGCCTCCTGCACCCCCATGTGGGATCGAGCCCACACCCCGGCATGTGCCCTGACTGGAACCGAACCCTGACCTCCTGGTTCATAGGTCAATGTTCGACCCCTGAGCCAAGCCGCAGGGCTGGAGGAGCGCTGCTAAAGCAGGGTGGGGTCCTGGCGGTGGGGGTGTGGTCCTGGCGGTGGAAGCTCCTAGTCAGACGCTCAGGAACCCACCCTAAAGCCCGTGAGACAGGAGGCCCCTGAGCGCCCTCCCGCCTGGGTGTGAGTTCCTGCCTCGGTGCCCTTGGTCACTCCCACAGCTCCAGCCTCAGTTTAGTCATCTGTAGATTGGGAACAAGGAGGGGCCTGGGCAGCCATGGTTTCCCCCATTTCTGTCAGGGCAAAGGGCTGGGAGGGGAGAAGAGGAGGGGGGGACAAAGACAGGGAAAGGGAGAGGGAGAAGGACAGAGAGAGGGGGAGGAGCAAGGATGGGGATGGAGAAGGGGAGGAGCAGGGGGAGGGGGAGGAGCAGGGACGGGGGAGAGGAGGGTCCTCTCCTGCACCAGCCTGGCCTCGTGGACTCAGGCTGGACCTTGCCTCCGGGACTCTTTCTCGTAAAACAGAAACACCGGCCCCAATTCCACTCTCCCCTCCTGATCCCGCCCACTTGGTCCCACTTGTATGTGTCTAAGTTTCTGGTACAAGTCGTCTCTCGCTTTGATTTAGCTGTGGAATCTGTCCCCAGCCCTCCCCCTCTCTCCTGCCTGGATTTGCCAAAATGCCAGCCACCCCGGCGGGCTGGACTCCTCAGTAGCCCCACCACACACCCACCTTTCAGTGGGCTGCAGCACAGACATGCACGCACTATACACACACGCACACATGTACACTGCACACACATGTGCACATGCATGCACTGCACACATGTGCGCACACGTGCACGCACACTTGCACACTGCACACGTACATGGGCACACACACACTCACTGCACACACACACGCACGTGCATGCTCACAGCCCTTCTGCGTGCTGGGAGACGGCAGGGCAGGGCCGCTGGAGGCTCAGGTGGGGTTTCCTCTCCAGGGGCCCCGCCTCGTCCAGCAGCCCCTCCTTCCAGCCTGGGCGGTGGCACTTTGCCCTGTCAGCCCCCGGGGGCCCCGATGTGCCGTCTCCATTCTCCAGCACCTGGTCGGGGTTCTCTCCTCCCCCGGCCAGGGCTCAGCCCCTCTCCCCACCGGGCTCACCCCCATGCACTGTGCACTGCGTGGCTCAGTGGGAGGCGAGGCTCCCAGAGGACGGGGCAGGGGCCGCCTTCTGGGCTCGTCCCACGCTGCAGACAGCCTCTCCTCTGAGGCCTTTCTGCTCTCCCAACACCCCACCCCCACCCCAGTCTGCCCCCGTGTGGGGACCAATGAGGAGAGGAGGACGGTCACGGCCACCCCACGTTCTGTACTGGTGCCGGGTCCATGACTGGCAGGGAGAGGGTGGCAGCTGTGACGGGCCGGGCGCCCTGCTCACAGGCTAAGTCCACGCTGTTGTACACGGTGCCACCGTCCCTCCCTCCCTCTTTCTTTCTTTCCTTCTTTCTTTCTTTCTTCCTTCCTTCCTTCCTTCCTTCCTTCCTTCCTTCCTTCCTTCCTTTCTTTCTTTC